GTTCATTGTGCCATGTAACGTAGCCCTTCTACCCTCACTAGCCAGACCTCATCAAATATGCACTACACAGGAAGTGGAGTGGTGCAGTTCTTCCCAACTTTAGTGCTGCAGTGGTGGATGGGATCACTGTAGTAGCAGCACAGTGGTCCTTGCCACCTCCCAAGCTCAGTAGTAGTATGGAATGTCGGACGTTATTTGGAACTTTGTGTTGAAGTCCCAGAAAAGCTTGACGGACCCTAAGAGTAACTTCTTTCTCTCACTGGCCTCTGCTATGGAGCAGGGAAAGGTGGCTATAGATCAGCTGTGCATACGGACACTGTTACCTGAAAGTATTCTAATTGTATCACACTGATGTTGTATGGAGAGACTAGATAGGTATTTGTACGGACACTGTTACCTGAAAGTATTCTAAACTGACGGCTTTGTATCACATTGATGTTGTATGGAGAGACTAGATGGGTATTTATCACACTGTTTGTGCCATGTTTCTGTTCCATTTGATATTTATTTATTCAATCGACTATACAAAGTTAGCACTAATTGAAAGCTGATCTAATCTGCTGGCATACGTATGTAGCATATATCGCTGATCAAGAAGTGTTCCCCCTCCCCGCAGCATTTCTAGTCCCATTATTCTGTCTCACTTTTGGCTTGTGTCGTTGCCTATATCATTCCTTTAGGGATGTTGTTTGGCATATTCCAATGACATCAATTGATGATGTGCAGAGTGTGGCATGGTGTGGGAATGAACCCTATTCCCTTTGCTTGCCGTCTTCTCATACTGATGTAGACAACAACTGCAATGCTATTTCTAAACTGCATTTTTCAAAAATACTTTTTTTCTTTTGATTTAGCTCTGTAAAACTAATAGGATACAGCACTTACCCAAACACTTACTGCTTTCTGTTATTTCAGCACTATCCCACTTGCCAAAATTTTTTAAAAGGCTTTGAATGCCTAATACAGACTAAAGTGACTTGACTTTTTAACCTATTACACATATGAGTATACATAACACTTATATATGTTATGAAACACTGGAATATCTAATTTCTGCCATTCCATTTGACAGTAAGTGAATGAGTGGTGAAATGGGTGAGGAAAAGGTTAGTGATAATGGCAGAGAAGGGTGAGAGACAAAAGAAAGCTGTATGGTCACTTGAAACTCACCTTTTCAGTATAATTAAACATTTCTGTAGGAAATGATTTAAGTGACAGCATACAATAAAGTCCACATCAATCCGGGACAATGTTCCATATGGTTCCACTCATATTCACAGGATCCACAAGTAAGAGTTAATACTTACAATGATTTGTTAATTTCAGCCCTCAAATCTATGGAACAGCTGGATTCAAATTTTAAGAGACTTAAAGGTAAAGGTAAAGGTTCCCCTTGACAATTTTTGTCCAGTCGTGTCCAACTCTAGGGGGCGGCGCTCATCCCGCTCTTCAAGCCATAGAGCCAGCGTTTCTCCAAAGACAATCTTTCCGTGGTCACATGGCCAGTGTGATTTAGACACGGAACGCTGTTTACCTTCCCACCGAGATGGTACCTATTTATCTACTCGCATTTGCATGCTTTCGAACCGCTAGGTTGGCGGGAGCTGGGACAAGCAATGGGCGCTCACTCCGTCGCGTGGATTCGATCTTACGACTGCTTGGTCTTCTGACCCCCTCCCCCACCACATATACCCAGTAGATTACAGATTTTTTTTTAAAAGGACTAAGCATATCCTACCACCATTACAGTGGCATATACAGTTGTGAATATGTGATGTTTCAAGCCAATGAATCTGGTCTTGGTCAGAAAAAAACTAGCATGGATGCTATTTCCCTGGCCATACTCTCAAATCCCAAACCAAAATGTCTGCTAATATACCAGTACAATAAATAATGAAGCCTATAAAACCTAAGCAGTACAAACAAGAAAGATCATTTTGTATCCTGTGTCTCATTCTACCAAAGAACCCGTGTCCATCATGAAAGTATCAAATAGTCCACTTTTTCCTGGAGAGAGACATTTAAACATTTATAGACATTATGTTGTCCTTATCAAGTACATAGTTTTAAGAAAATGATAGGAAATGGCATTGTCACAGTTGCCGGAGGACACAAGGATTGAAGGTGAGGATTGAAATTAAATTAAATCAAATAGCAGCGAGTGGATTCTTAGTTATTGTCATCAAACCTCTGTGTTTCTACCTAGACTGATTAAATTAAATTAAATTAAATTAAATCAAGTAGCAGCGAGTGAATTCCTAGTTATTGTCATCAAACCTCTGTGTTCTACCTAGACTATTTCTCAACACCACCAGTCATATATATATGACTAGTGGTGTTGAGAAACAGTCTAGGTAAAGAAGCAAATGCAATCTAAGCAAAAGCTCTAAATTGTCAGTATCTTGACCATGATTTTTAAAATGTACAGACAGACTTCACTACGTCAAAAATATTAATTTAAAAAAGTATATTTCAAGTGCCCATTCAAATGCCATGTGGCAACAGTGAAAACTGTTAAACTGTGGAATAGTTTTAAGTTAATTAATCATCCTTCTTTAAAAACTTCAGAAAGTAAATTAAACAAGTATAATGCACAACAGGGATAAGTATTCTACTGATATTGACAGGAGAAGGGAATGGATTAGTTTTTATGTGTCCTGATTTATGAGCTCCAGGTTAGAAGATGACCTTGCTTCTCTGGCTGCATATTGAAACAGAAGTTAATTCATTAAATTTCCTTAAAACAACACATGATGAGAGGGGGAAGAATCCTCATGTTTCCAACAGGGAAAAAGATTATGCTATAATTATATTATTGGTCTTTAATATGTGAGTCTTCATCCTTTCTGGAAAAACAAGGGAGCTGGTGGCACCTGAAGACTGACAAATGTATTGTGGACTAAACCTTTGTGGCCTTAAATGCACTTTATTAAATGCAACTAATATCAAAATAAATGTATTAAATCTTTAACTTTCACAGGATTCTTTCTTTCTGCTGCCACAGGCAATATTACTGCCTCTCTGGAAATCATTAATGGAAATAATCTGAAACAAGCTTTCCCATAAAAGTACGGGAAGAAAATGTACAGCTGTGGTTTCTATGGCAAAAAAATACCACCTAAAACCACTGAAGTATAGCCACCAATTTCTAGAAAGGAAAGAAAGGGAAAGGGAAATGAGAAAGAGAGAGACCACCTGCAGTTCAGAGGGATTGCACATTCACATTGTGATGAGCTTTTCTTGAAACAAGAAACCATTCAGACAAAGTGACAATCCCAACCAGCTCCAGTAGGAGGCCAAACTGGTGCTAGGAAAGTCTTCTGATCCAAGTAAGGCCTTTCAGCTTCAAATAGAAATCAATAAAAGCACAGACGTCTGTTGCAACAACCACTAAGAGCTTTTATGTTAAATTTGTTGAGATTTCTCTATAACAATTATTCCACTACTTAACAGATCCTTAGCCTGCAGATGTTATTGACTCCACTGTGTCTCTTAATTGGCTACAGTTCAGATTGAATAAAGCTAAAATTATCTGGCAAACTGTTTCAGATTTTATTTTACATAAAAACATTGAAGGTTAAAAAAAAACTGTGAATGGACATTGTAAGGAAGGAATACACAACATTTTAGAGCTGCTTCACAATGTACACAGCACCATGGCTGTAAGAGTGCAGCTGACAAAGTGAACAAGAAGCACACAAAGAGAAACTCAGCATCTTTAGACATCAAGGAGCTATGGTTGGTGGCAACACCTTGGTTCATACCTTTTTTCCAAGACTTCCCAATGTTTACTGCAGTAAAAGCCAGTGTGCAATGTATTTTACCAAAGAGTTCCTGCATAGCAATCCAGCTGTGGTCAACCCTAGGCATGCACATAAACCTATATCGAGCTTGCATGCTAGTCAGAAAAACTGCCTCAGTGAGAGAGCTGAGGACAGTGAAGCAAGGAAAAAGCTGTAATGCGAGGGTATACTGAAAAGTCTTTTAACCATTTCCCTGTTATTTATTATTATTTATTCTCCAATATAAAGCAATAAAATACTGTCACTATATATGATAATATATATTGTGGAACTGCTTGTATTTTGAGAATGAAAAATAAGCACACACACTTTTTGACATACTGTTGCAATGTAACTTTTATCCCTATAGGCATTTTCAGTCACAGGCGGAATGGACTACAAGTTCCTTTCAAAAACTGTGCTGTAGGTGTTTTGTCATTTCATTACTGATTGGAAAGCTGTAGTGATTTCTCCCTTCTATAAGTAAAAAACAAAAACAAAACATCATCCACCCAGCAGAAACAGTTGGCTGAAGGCATGATCAACTCATCTCTTCCCACACACAGCATCAACAGGCTCAGCTGGATGTGTAATGGTGCTTTTCAAAAGAGACTCAGCATTATCAGTTCTTCACACAACAGTGACTTTCAGTCTCCCCTGTGAGGTACTACAGGGAAAAGGTGAAATGCTTCCCAACTAACAATGCTCAGCTTGTCTTAAGAGGGTTGGATGCAGTATGCGCATTATGTGCCACTGTCCATAGCACAGAGATATAGGATCAAAAACAACCCTAAGAAGCATGAAGTCCTGACATAGCGGGAAAGGATGCAAGAATTTGCAGCAAGGCATGTATATGAGAAAGAGTGGAAAATTCACAGTTGTTCAATTCTGGATGACTGTATGGAATTGTTTATTGTTGGAAGCCATTTCTGTTCCCCCACAGCTGCTACAAACACTCCAAGAAGTACAGGAGGGGAAGAACCAAGATCCATACATAATTCCTATTAGTCTCTGACAGTGATGGAAGATTTATGGCTAAGTGACTGCAGATACTCTCTTCCATGAACAATGACAAAAAAATCAATAGTATAAAATTACTGGGAAATTGTAGTTAATATACCAAAGCCTTTCTAACTGTGTGAACCACTAGTATAAGCACCACCACCACCACTATGTACTTACCCCTAAAGTGCTAATTGCATTGAGCTTTGTACTGACCTGAGGTCTGGAAGTCTATCTGGATAGGATTGGATAAGCCATTGACTGCCTCTCGCCACAAGCCTCCACCCCCTGGTGACCACGCAGTTACCATACAGCGATATAGTCCAGCATCAGAAACCTGCGTCTGGTACATCCTGTAGCGGAACTCATTTTCCTGGACCTTTTCCAAGACCACACCATCCACACGGTCCTGGTCTGTCCAATCTTCCCGTCTGACCACTGAATCTTGATTGAGAGAAATTATGCGAGTGGTTCCATGGGGACTGGACTGGACTGAGTCATTCAGAGGTTTCTCAGCTGTAATGAGGACTGAGTACCGAGGAGTCTTGATGTTCTGGGAAGACACCTTGCATGTCATTTCAAAAGTGTGCCCTGCCATGAAGAATGGCTTCAGCTTCACAGCCTCTACGGTCAATGCATAATCTGAGAACAAAGGAGGCACAGACATAAGCAACAAGCAAAAGATGGGTGAAATATGCAGTAAGCAGAGGATTAGTGTGCTAGCTTCCTGCAATGCATTTCAAGTTAAAGACTAGGCAGTGCATCATGACATGTTAGAGGCAGACATGTATAAAGCCACATGACAATATGCATCCCTAACAACATGATTCCCAACGTATTCAATGCAGCTTGCTCCCATGTAAGTATGTATGGGACTGCAACCCACGTAAGGTAGCTTTTAGCAATTATTTAGCAGCCTGTTTTGATAATGCAAGAAAAAAACAAACAGCAGGGGAAAGCAGGCATGCAGAATACAGTAATTACATACTGAGAATTTTATCTCCATGCTTGAGTGAAGTCCTACTGAGCTTTGACAAGAAGGCAGGGCTTCAATTTCACATTATGTAATAGCTGTATTAATCCATATGGGTACAAGTCATAAAGAACCAAATTGTATCAGTACCTTCCAATGTACCTTCCAATCAGGCATACTCTGACTCAATTAGAGAATAACTCAGGATCAGACATCAACATGATTATCAAATACATCTTGAAAAAACTGGGTGCCATTCTGAAAATGTGTATACTTACGGTTTTTTCCTCTCTTGCCATTCTTTTTAAAATGTCATTGACTCAAGTCTTCCATTTGATCTTTGCCTTTTTAAAACAATGGCATAATATCTTATAGTGTCCTCTGTTATAAAGCATAATGTGTTTCACTACCTTAATCTTTTGTCTCAACATGCAATCAACTGACTCTTCAGTGTAGTTACTCTGTGCATGACTTCTCTTCTGTCCAAATGACTACTAACTTTTTAAGGCCCAGTGCAGGTATTCCATGATAGTGAGTCTTATATGCACCTTTCTAGAGTCCCCAGGAAATGACAGTGAAAATTGAGTTTTTGGTTATTTCGCCATTTTTCAAGGCATTGGGTGGGTGGGTGTATGGATGAAGCAGAAGAGACACACTTCTTGGTTTCAGAACAGGGAAACTGAGAATGGATTCTCTCTTTTTTGAAATTATGACTGTAAAGGAGCAGCCTACTGTTTTGTTTAGTCAACAGCAGAAAGCAGTGCCACAAGCAGCCGGAGCTTCCATGAAACTTCTTTAGCACCAAATAAGCAGGAATGAGCAGCTCTCCAATTAAAATGGGCTGCATATATCTCGTTAAATGTATGCTTGGAAACTAGCTCTCTCCTACTGCTTACCTGAGACCCAGGAGCATCCTGGGTTCAAAGAAGGAATTCGAAGGCAGACAAAAAACACTCCTTCAACAACCAGTTGCATTTTAGTTACTCTATGCAAGCACAAAATTACATACAAGGCAAACGTCCAGACAAGGAAGCTTAATTTATCATATTAAGCCAAGAGAGAGAAAGAAAATTCTAGAGTCACAAAATGTCAGAAAAGCAGGCCAAGTTAATATATTTCAGAGTCTTAATGCAAATACCGTAATTGCTACGAAAATTGTGGTAAAGTTGTCTGAAAAAACAGAATTTAATGAATTTTAAAAAATCTGAATCACTAATGCTGATTCTATATTCTTGATTCTAACACTTTGCAGTGTGTGAACGACTATCAAGATTTGTTCTGGACATTTAAAACTTTTTGCACTGAGGTATAATAGAGGACCAAAAGGAATATTCCCCTGCCTTTTGCAGCCTGCTCTTCCATGTTTCACCTTCTCCTTTGGTTGACCACTCAGACGAGGAGGCAGGGCAGAGATTTCTGCCCCACTGCCTTTATGGGGCCAGCTGATAGAGAAGGCAGAAGATGGAAGAGCAGACTGCAAAAAGTGAGTGGCCAGTAGCACTGGGGAGGGAAACGCATATTGCCCAAGGAATGAGCGAACAGGCAGGAGAGGCAGGAGGGGGAAAAGATGTCATGCCCACACAGCACCTGTGTGAGCACAGCGGTGAATTGGGCCACACCTCCAAATCAAGGTTTGTGTCCATCTCCATCCATGACCATTGTGCTAAGCTACTTGGGTCTTCTGGAGGTCAAAGGCCAAGAACCACGAGTCTATAATTATAAACACATGGATCCATAAAAGTTTTCATGTCTGAACCTATCACTGGTTTTAACCATATTTAGTCACCAAGCAGCATCGCCTAGTTCAGAGAAAGGCACTTAGGGGAAAAACACAAAAGTAATTGTGAATAGTTTGAAAAAAGGATCAACATTGTAGAAATATTGCTTTCATGGAGAAATTATATCAACTACTGTATCATTATTCTACACTGGGGCACAGAAGGTATTCCTGCAGTATGAAATCTTTATCTCCATATTTCCATGACTTGTCAGCAACCTAAAAATTTATAGCCTGCTGTTGCCAAAAAATCCCTGCAAAGAGCTTTAAATTAGGCTAGCATAAAGGTAGCTCCTCTCCCTAACTCTTTTCCCACAAATTTTTCCCTTCTTTGGACTCAGCTTCTACATACACATTGCATACATTTGTAGTTTTCACAGGTCAGGTACTGTGAAATCATGGTTTTTCTTATTTATAGACCTGAACTACCTTGGCATTTGGAAGCGTTTGTACAAAAATCTATTTTCTCCAATAAAAAAACCAAGCTGAATATTAAACACAAGTTGAGGTGTTTTTTTACAAGGCAACAGGGAAATAAGATATACTGAGTTTGCAACACACTTCACCAAATGAAAACTACACACAATAATACTTGTGCCCTTCCCCCAAGAGATCCACAAGATAACAGTTGTGATTACATTTTGCTGTATTTTGCCTTCAAGCAGCAGTTTTCACAATGAGTAAACATATCTAAAAGACCAAAAAAAGTGCCTTTGATAATTGTATGAGTACTGTAAGAACACATTATGGTCCAGGTGACATAAAAGACCGGACTACCAAATTCCAGACAGCCTGTTTCAGATTTTTCATTTACAAGTGAAATAATATGGGGAATCATGGGACCTGAGACACTCCACAGGCTAATGGTCAAGGTGTTGAAGAGGAGTCCCCCAGCACCACTACCATTCACAGAGTGACACCACACAAGGGAAAATTCCAGAAAATGACTTTTTTCATCAGTTGACCACTTCTTGCCCAAACACAAAACAATTGTCAGGGCTGTTTTTCAACAAGTGTGAATAGAGGGTATCCTATAGACCAGTGGTCCCTAACCTTTTCCCAACCACAGACTGGTTGGGGTGACATGGTTGTGCTCGCGGGGGCCCTGCTTGCACACATGCACATGCGCACAGCACACTCGCAGGAGCGGAGTGCACTCACATGCATGCACACTGCGGCACTCACAGGGAGCACTTGCGCACATGCATGCAGCACACTCGCAGAAGGCAAGAGATCTGTGTCCGTGGCCTGGTCCTACCTAGGCTGCGGACCACTGCCGGATCGTGGACTGGGGACCCTTGCTGTAGGCTATCTTGACTGCTGCCACTGGTGTTGTCAACATTCAGGCTGCCCTCGGCTAAAAAGGCCTAGCATCCTTTTTCTTGCTAGCAATACAGGCACGATATTATGCAGCAATATTGGGCCATTTCTTGGCTTTCTCAGTTGTAGGCCCAGAAGCACAATATTCCACATTCATAAACTGGAGGATTTTTAAAGAACTGAATTTCCTGGCTTTTCAAAATGGGGATTTAAGTATAGATAAGCTACACACAAATTGAATCAGAAATTTCCCTCATATAGAATTACCCAGTGGTAGAGGATTCCAGAAGATGAGCCTATGATCTGTACTATGGTTACAGGGGGAAGACAGAAGTGAGAACAGCTTGGATGTGGCTATAATCCCTTTGTGCCAAAATATTTTCAGGAGCTGTTTTGAACGCAATGGAATGGTAAAGTAAAGGTGTGAGTAGGTACAATACATAAAAATGGACAAACATACACATGCTTTGACTTCATTTAAACTAATGTTGCCATGTCCGCTCCGTCAAATGCAGATTGGAAAGCTATGTCCAATTTCATCTCCCTTTCTTTGAGTTAGGCAAGCTGAGGAAGAAAAGCTGTATTGGACCAAAACCTCTATGCACAAGCTGTGTGCATGTTTTTCAAAAGACAACCTTTTGCTTTTTTGAAATAAAAACAGGAAGAGGTTGGAGATATAGCAAAGAACGACACTGGAAACCAACGTCAAAATCATCCATACTATGTGAAAGAAAGCTAGTGAAGAAAGACAGGGACAACAATCGAGTCATTTGAAATGTGGTATTGGTTGAGATACTAAATACAGCCAGAAAAGAAAAAAAGTGGGTGCTCAGTCAAGTCAAGCCTGAACTCTCACTTGCGTAAAAATCAGTAACCTGAATCCTACTATGCACATATGATGGAAACACAGATATGACCAGAATAGATTATATTGCTGGAAAAATGAAGTAGATCAGTAGACAAAGAAGAAAATCTAACATGAGATGATTTGACTCAATAAAGGAAGCCACAGCTGTTAGTTTGCAAGTTCTAAGAAGAATTTAATGGAAAAGACAATATTGCTAGGAAAGGGGGAAGCAGCAGCAACAGAGAACAATAAATGTGAGACACTGTTGGTTTGCAAGATGTGAGCAGAGTTTTTACTGATAGGAGTCAGTAACTCATACGGAAGAAGAAAGGTGGGGTTAAGAGGGGTTTTTTACCTCTCTTCTGTCTACCTAACTTTCACCCCAATGCTCCCCTCACAATGCAGCTGTCCTTGGCTGCTGTTTCCTTGCTCATGAGTAAACCAGATAAAATTGGCTTTGAGATCATCCCAGCCCCACACCAACAACAGTAATTTCCCAGCTTAAATTAGTGAGTTGCTGATTATTATTATCTATTATAAAAATATATATTTTAAAATACAGTATTTTCACAGGTAGGAGCTAAAAACATTTGGCCACAAAGGAGTTAAATGCTTTCTTTCACATTGAACCCCATGACAGGGTTAAAGGTGATAGACATCTGACACTTGCCCTGTATAGCTGACTGGCTAACCCCAGACACGTTCTGATTGGTTAGAACGCTATG